ACCCTAAACCCAAACCCTGAATCCCTGTACCTAACCCTAAGCCCAATACCGGAACCGTCGATCAACATACTACTTTCGGGGTTCGTTGGCTTTCGGGTGTCCTGGGTAAGATCTTAAAGCCCCAGACCCCAAGCCGAAACTTCTCCGACCTGGGACAAACCCCAAGAGGATGGTAGAAAAGTCACCAGCATGGGTGCCACCGTCTCGTAAACTGGATCCCTCCGTCCGAAGTCTTACAGCAAGGCGTCTGATTCCTAAACCTGCGGCCCTCTTTGGCTCATGTTCCCCCAACCGAAAACCCTACAACCCTGAAAAAGAACAATAGAACCGACAAGCAACAAAACCCTGCTGGAGCTTGAGAGCCTTAGAACCCACTCGACCCCAATTACGTCAGAAGGGGCCCCTGCCGTCTGCGAGGTGGTTGGGTTCTCGGAAGTCGTTGGCAGCCAAACCCTTCGATTCATGGCCAAGGCCAGGAGAACCCTACGTTTTAAATGGTTACCATAATATGGGTGGTTCTCTGAGCTAGCTCCCTTTCAGGGTCCTTTTTATAATGGTGCCGTACCATGTTGGGGACCCAAAAGGGGCCCTAATTCAGAGAACCACCCGTATAGGGGATCACTATAAGGTATTATGGGGTTACCATGAGTTTAGGGGTTGCTACAACAAGCTGTTGCTACAAGTGGTCACCTTCGTATCCGTCATGTACGATTTCGTCGAAGTTCGTAGAGGCTGTCATGTGGGATAAGCGCAACTGTACTGGTTGTTCTTTGGCATTGGATAGTTCGGCCTCCTGATATACAGTCTTACAGCATGCAAGAACATGTCTCAATATCGCAGCATAAGATGCCAGGATGCCAGGATATAAATGAAACACTTTCGTCGCGCGCTATGGGACAACATACGATGCTCCATGCCCCCTGCTACAGAGACTACGCGATACCATGACGTAAACTATGATTTGCTCTCTAACTCTAGTGCAGCAGCAGACGCTATGACCCACTTCGACCCACTATGAGCTACTGTACTTTCAGATCTGGTTGTAGCAGCGCACCTTGAGCCATACGCCTTGCGCGGTTCAACAGGCTGCATATGGGTAGTTCTCTAAAATGGGATACCTTTTGGGGTCCTTGTTATAAGGGTGCCGTACTATATTGGGGACCCAAAACGGGAACCTAGTTTAGAGAACTACCCGTATGTCTGAAAAGCCTGTAACAAAAAACACCCCTAAACCCTAAACCCTAAACCCTAAACAACTGCTTACCGAAGCCCAAGCACTTAGGCCTCCACGCCTGAACTTCTCAAACCGAAAGTTCAAGTTCAAGGCCTTTGAGCTGGAAAATAAAAATCCCTACAACGCCTTAGCATCGACTCCATGAAAAAAGAATCCCTGAATCCAAAAATCTTGAAGCGTATGCCCTGAAACCCAATACATGTCTCAAAGGCTCGACACTAAGTCCCAGAAATCAAATACCTGCTTCGCACTCATTGACATCCTGAAGACAGGAGACCTTTGAAGAGAGGAAGATCCACAGCAAGAAGCCCTCTAGAACCGTCAAACCCCGTTTCAATGCACTTGGTGCACTTGCTAATGTCATGTAACCTTATAAGAGCCAAGTATACAAGTTCTTTACATTCAGCCTCATCGACAGCCTTGCACAAGCTTTAACTCCTGACAGCCAAGACCCGTAACACGACACAAGCTGCTAGCCCCCCTGTTCGAAAATCCAGCGCCCTCGAATCTCAACCCTAATACAACCCCTACAACATCCTGAGATCCTTGTGAAACCTTGGTAAAACCCTTGTAAGCCACTAATATGCGCGCCTTTCCCAATCCTGGAAAACTTCAAAGCCCCAAACCCTAAACCCCAAGTGCTGGAGGTAGCCCTCGAGCCTTGTGCCGAGCGTCTAGGGATTCCCATAGGCGCTCGTGGGTGCGATTAAGGGAGATGAGCTTTCATTTTCTTTTTTTTTTCAGGGTTTCAGGATTCTCTGGGGTTTAGGAGTTTAGGGTTAGGGGCTTTTTGTTTTTCTTTGGAATTTGTCGGTGTGTACGGGTTTGCAAGAGGTGTGTGCATTCGGCAGAAGGCTTTGGGGTTTAGGCAGTGTCGTTGCCGGTGGACTGTTGTGGCATGATCGTGCGAAAGCATCTTTTGACTGGCCGGAGCAGCGGGTGTGCGACGCACTGCCACGAGTAGTTTGAGCTTGTAGGTAAGGGTTTAGGGCGTCAGGTTGGGCTTCAGGTGTTTTGTGCTCCGGCGGTGTTTCAGAATGTCAAAGCTGCCATGCACCGACTTAGCTCCTCAATTGCATCATAGACTAAGTTCCCCAAGACCCAACCTTTAAACTTTTTGGGTTCTTATAATTTAGTAGTACTCTGAAAGTTTAACCTTTTACTTCCCTGGCTTGTTGGGGAAGTAAGTAGAACATCTCTGCTTCATCTGGAGCTCTTAAGTAAAGCTCAGGGCTTGAAGCCTTCGATGCCTGAACCCCTGCAAACTCCCTAAACCCCTGCATCCGTATACCCCAAAGCCCTGAAACCCTTAAGCCCCTGTTATCTTCCAGATCCCTCGCAAGGAACTTATATGTAAGGCATACTATGGGAGTCTCTAGCGTCTTTAGACCTGACGGACCCCTTATCTAAAGCACCCACCTCGCAACGCCACGAACCCAAGCGAAGTTGAGCGATCTGCCACTAGCCAGGTCAGCGGACCCTCGGCTGAATCTGGAGGTTTGGAGGTTTGGGGGTTTAGGGGCTTTGGGGTTTAGGGCTTAGGGTTTAGGGTTTAGGGTTTGGAGGTTTGGAGGTTTGGGGGTTTAGTTAAGGCTGAGGGGTGTAGGGTCTGAGGGTTTTCTCGGCTGAAGATTAAAAACCAAGAAGCCCTGAGATGCTGCGAGGTGTTTCACAGTTCGCGGGTTGAGGGTTCAGCAGATTGCAATCCGCTCAGTGGTTTGGAGTTAAACGTGTTTAGGTCTTACCGTTTAGAAGCAAAGGGCTCCATGATTTAAGGGTTCAATGGTGTCGAACTCAGGATTTAGATTTCGTGGTTTGAGGATAGCGGGGTTTACACGGAGAAAAGTTCTTCTATGGGGTCTCAGCTTCGTACCGTGTCGAGTCGTCTCGTGGTCGTTGCTCGTAATATGAAGCAGTAGCGCTCCTTGTCTTGGCAGTACAGGGGGGCATAGAGGAGCACTGGCAGCAGCAATGGTAGCAGCCGCAGCAACAGCGCGACTCATGCTTGCCACAGTGATTCTGACGCAGGTTCTTATGTTGGACATTCATTTTAGCTAGCAAGAAGAAATCGGGTCTTGGTAGCAAGACATGTCAGGTCTAAGCAGCATTAGCCTATTTCATATCCTCCTGCGATACTTCCTCGATCATTGCTTCTTGTCGTGCTTACCGAGGCCCAATGTTTCGTCATTGGAATGCGTTCTGCCACGTGGCTGCAGTTATTCACGTGAGCCAGAACCTCAAACCCTGAGCCCCTGAACACCAACAACTCCTACAGCATCCCGTCAACCCTAAGACCCGAAGCCCTAGAATCTTCGAGGCCTAAACCAGCGCCCCTTTACACTTACAACAAGCTTTCTGGACCTTCAGTCGAAAGTGCATAGGATCAAGGCACCTGAGCTTTGAATTCCAGAGCCCCCGAACCCGGGGAGGCCGATTCGTCGCCCTGACTAAGGAAGATATACCGGGGATTGTTTAGATTGCCGAGGTTTCGGTTGGGGTTTACTAACTAATTTTCGGGGGTAGGGTTTGTGGTTCATGTCTAAAGAACCCCAAGCCCTCAATTCCCCACAATTTAGGCCCCAAGCCCTAGCAGCCATGAACCTTTCTGCCCCAAGCCCCGAAGCCCCGAAGCCCCAAAGCCCTAAACCCTGAAAGCCTAAAATCCTGAACTCCTAAATCCCTGCTCCCACAAACCTACGACTCTGCAAGCACCCGAAAGCCCCAAAGCCCAAAAGCCCAAAAGCCCCACACCTCGGGAAGCCCTAAGTCCCGTAGCCATTGCAACCCTTTGAGAGCTCTAAGCCCTAAGCCACCACTTCCCCAACACCCCCAAACTTCTGGTAGGACAACAACAAAAAGGGGTGGAACCCGTATGAAAATCGGTGCAAAGACCTTCTAGAGCCCTAAACCCTGAACCCTACACCCTCAACCCTCCTAGAGCCCTAAACCCTACCTTTTCCTCCAAGGCGCAGCTTGGAGTCGAGATACCACCGCGCCTCAGCCGGGGAACCACCTGGCTTCGGGGTGGTGTTCAGTTTGGGGTTTACAGGGGTTTACAGGGGTTTATAGGGGTTTACAGGGTTTATAGGGGTTTATAGGGGTTTAGGGGTTTTAGGG